AGAACATCTCTGCTATATTTCATTTGTTTTGTAAGAAAAACTGTACAAGTTATAAGAATCCTTTATGTTATGTGATTAATTATATGAATAGATAACTTTAATACGTAGTGAAATGAAAGGATTTTAGTTTTTCAGATAGTGTCTTAACAATATTTACATCTAAAAGCATTTTTGTTATCTAATACAGTATTATTTTAATCAATCTGTTTCAAATAATTGTAAATAAATGAGAGAATAACTGTGATGTAATTGTATCATCCAAGAATTAGCGACATCTACAAAAAATATCATTATTGTTTCAATATTGATGAAGATATTGTTAGATATTTAAAGACTAATTGATAATCAAAGAGTAATTTATTTTTAGTTATTTAATACTACTATTTTGTAAAAGTGACAATATACATTACATAGAAATTAATGTTAAGTTTACGATTCACATATCTTAATATGTTCCTAAATTTTACTAAAAACTAAACTTAATTGTAAAGATTGCGCAATCATGCATACCTTGCTTCTGGATCACATTCTCGGATCTTCAGCAGCTCTTCCACACAGTCAAACGTCATCAGATGGACGCCGACGGACGCAGCAAACTTTATGTGCGTTCGGAATTTCACAGGATTTGCAAATATTATTTTACATGGCTTGACTCCAATTTCTACCAATTTCTGAATTTCTTGCTAAAAGGTAAGTAAAAGAACAGCGTTGAATACTTTCCAGTGGTCGAAGCATGTTTAGAAGTTATCTATTACAATCAGCAAACAAATACGTTTACGTATAAAAAGTAGAATGTAAAATACACAGTGAAACATAACATGGCTTCTCAAACAGCATACAATGACAGCATGAGGACAAAATGTTTGAGTTTATATCTATTGAACGTCTTATAGTAATAATCAAATATGGTATGAATATATACATGTTTGAGAATTTGAATTTTATATAAGTTGCTTTAGTCACACTATATAAATATGTACGATTGCCTTTAAAGATTCCCTCTACCTGAATTCCTTGAAATTGTCTTGAAGTTGTTTTAGACACACAACATTGTTATGGATGATGGAGTTATCTTGAAGTTATTTTAGACACACAACATTGTTATGAACGATGGAGTTATCTTTAAGTTGTTTTAGACACACAACATTGTTATGAATGATGGAGTTATCTTGAAGTTGTTTTAGACACACAACATTGTTATGAATGATGGAGTTATCTTGAAGTTGTTTTAGACACACACAACATTGTTATGAATGATGGAGTTATCTTGAAGTTGTTTTAGACACAC